AAAAATTAAGAGTCCATTGTCTTTTAAATAAATATTAGAATAACACTTGTCTGTATATTTAGCTACAGTCCTGTTTATTTTTGGCTCAGCGACACTGGTGAGACCCGTGGCCACGGTTTCTGTCTAGTTGCTGATGACCTTTTCTCCGCCTCAATCTGTGACTTTTAAGAGAAACATAACACTTTCTAGACACAAATAATTATGTTAAATCAATTTTGTAACACAAGTTGTGTGCTAATTTTTTTAAAATCTCGTTAAATTAACATTGTCTCTTTACATTACAGAATGTAGGACTGATGATGTTTGGTGCTTAGCTCCATCATTGTCGTCGTTTTATTTCCTTAATACTCACTATTAGATTTTCTCCAGTTTTTTCCCTCCTTTTTTTGTTTTCCTGCCTGTCAGCTTGGACATTGTCATACTACGCATATACTGTAATAACTGAAATGACACTAATGAAAAAGTAAACCAGTAAAAGAAACATGAGAAACACAACAAGAGGAGCCTATAGAGAATTTATTGAGCTCATCTTGGAAAAACAAAATGTGTTTGATCATAATTCTGATTGCAAAAGCTGCCAGACAAGATGCGTTTGAAATAATGGTAAGTCAACAGACAGCTAAGGCAGCAGTTGGGTATTTGCTAATAGTTACATGTATAACATTAACATGTGTGCTGGACAGGTTAATGTTTCCAATAACTGGTTACTATTTATATGTTGTTGAAATGGAAGCTTTACTGACTCCACAATATACCCCATAAAGACCAGGGTGTTACTCTTTAAGGTACTTTTCTGTTTGCCATGCTTCTGTTTGAGTGCTCAACTGGTAAAGAGTGGAGAGGCTGTGTGAAGTATGTATGTTAGGCTGTATGTCAGCTAGAGAAGATGAAGGCAGTACTGTTTGTATTAAGTAATAAGATTAGTATCTCATTATAGGTGGGATTTATTTATTTTTTTTGGACAACCCATACATACATAAGCTGCCTTTGTTATAAAGGACACTAAAAAAAGCAAGTATTGAGGTGTTTTTAGAATTTTGATATAGGTGCTTTAGGTCTCCATTCTGG